TTTCACCAACAAATGAAGATGATGGAACGTCGTTACCAAGGGTTTTGGGATGAATCAATGATGGGTGACTATTCTTGGTTTCTGATTCGAGAAACAAGTTCAAAACATCGAAGACAAAGTCATTCGATTCTCAATCATTTTTAATAAAACCTAAATAAATTTCTTTTGTATCAACTCGGTTTTAAATCCTGATATGCCTTAATCAAATTGATATGTAGAGAAAAGAATCTCCCATGAAAAATTTACATGCGATTTGGGTGCTTACAACGACACCTAGAAAAGGAACTCTAAAGCTGTTGTATTTCAGCAACATTTTTAAGTGTTTTACAAAAATGCTCATAACTTCGACAATTTCCAACCGATTTCATCCATTAAAGGCTCATTTTCTCCGGTTTTGAATGGACTTTAAGAATAAATTATGGAATGATTTTTTGAATCTTTTTATCCCATAAAAAATGTTGATTAAAACAAGATTTTTATGGAAAACTCGCAGGAAAATTAAAAAAAAATGCTGTAAATTTTTAAATGACTTCAAAATTAAATTTTTAATTAAGACATAATATTCTAGTGAACGATAGCAAATTTATTTAGCTTCATTTTCACAAAAAGATTAAAAATTGGTGCACTAGTTCCAAAGATATTGACATTTTAGTAATCGTACTTTTGTCCAAAATTCGAAAAAACAAATTTTTTGTATATCTCAAAAATGGCTCTACTTTAATTTTTTCTGACCACGGCATTGAATTCAGCGTAGCATTTTGCATATGAAATGATCATCACCTTACCGAGTTCAAAAATGCTGTAAACTAGTGTTATCAGCTTTCTGAACAATATAATTTTTATTATTTTGATTATTTTAAATTTCCTAAAAATGGATGATGCTACGAAGAAATTAATTTAAATTTAAGGGAAAACATCATAAAATTCACTTAGAAAGTACCATAAAGTCTATGTTGTTTTCTAGTGGATTGGGCAAAAATCTTTTCACTTCGAGCAATTTTCACTTAGATGCTGCATGAAAATAAATTGAAATTTACTTCCAAAGCCAATATTACCTATTAGAGTTGTATGTGGAGTGAAATTAGAACTTTCAAACCAATCCTCATATGAAAAACGTAAAATTAAGTGAAAAACTAGATGGAAAATATCTAGGTGAAATCTAAGTGAAAAATTTTCTGGGTGTAGTGTCATCTAACCGGCACCGGTGGCGTAGTGGTAAGCGTGATTGCGTCTCACCCTAAAGGGAAGTAAAGCCGTTGATCCTCGGTCCATGACTTGATGGGTGGAAAGTAGGGTCCAGGTGTGGGAACTGCCTCCCTGGTGACGGTAGCATTGGTGCTCAGCACGGAAAACAAGATCGACGGAAAACAAACCAAAGTAAAAAAAAAAGTAAATGAATGTAAGTTGGTAGTCTGAGGGTGCATTCGTGGAAAGTGGCAAGACAACATATCAAGAAGCTTGGCAACTCTCAAATGAGACAGACACAATCGCGTCATCTGCCGCTCAAAGGTAAATGCTCCTATAGAATTGGATAGCAAAGTTTCCATCCTCAGAAGAAAGGTATGTGTATTTGCTCATTTTTCTATGCGTTGCTTCCACCTTCGCTCGAGTGCAGCGCTCCTGTGTATGTCGCTTGGATTCAGGCAAAGCTGCCAGTTTTCTTAATATAATGTCTTCGATATTACATGACATTTTCAAAGATGATGTTTCATAGAGTTAAAAGTTAAAAGTATGTCATGATTCAAATATGAGCATTGACGTGAGTTCAGGTCAAGAAATCAAAATGGTGAATTAAAAATTCTGTACAGTAGCAAAAAACTACATTTTGCCTACAAACTTAGCTTTTTTCTGCTTTGCTGAAATCTCAGCAAACATGACGTTGTTTGTTGAGATTCCGGAAAGCATTTTCCGAGACTCAGCAACCAAAAGCCACTTTTGCTGAGATCTCAGTAAAAGAAAATTGCCGAGCACTCGGGTGGGCAAATCTCGGCAAAAATTTGCGAGTGTATTAATTAAGTGTGTACTTTTACTTATTTTTTCACTCCTTGATAAATTTTTCAACGAATTATGAATCTCTGAAGTGTGACAGACAAAAAATGATTTTGTTTGGCGTAAAAGGATTGAGTTTTTATTTGTTTAAGTCAAAATTAGCAAATGTTTTGAGGGGAAATTTCTGACTAACTGCGCAATATTTTGAATTATAATATTTTGCAAAAAGAAATGGTTTGGCTCCAACAATCAACAGCAACAATTACGAAAGAATTTCCTTGCATAACTGCTGATTTCAAATTTGGGACTTTTCAAAATTTATTAGACAGCATGTTGTTCTCATATCCATTACTCGAGATGCAAAATCACAAAAAATCACATATGAACGTTGTGGACTAAACATTCTTCACTGAAAATGTCAAATAATTTGTTATAATAGTTAAAAAGTTACAGCTGTTAATGTGTGTGCCATTTTCCACGAACACACCCGTTATTCATAAATTAATTCTTAGTTAAAATGAAACACGATAAATTCAACTTGTTTCTACGTTTGTAGCAACTGAGTCGCGGGACGTTAGTCAAGGTCTAGAGTAAATCGAATCGCTTTGCGAATAAACCCGAAAATTCCATAGTTTATTTGTTGGATATTTACATTCTATATCAAACTACAGCCTTTCATTTGGTGCCCTCGTTGCTGAAAAACACGTCTTTTTAAATAACCTTGCATGCAATTAGCAATGGCGGTGCAAGTCATCTAGCATTACGAACGTCACCTATTGACTCTTTCCAATTTACACGTTGTCCACTATTAGATACAGATGTTTTTCCACTATGATATTGAGCATTATGTACCAAAGTAGACTCTCGCGCTAAAAATAATCGCTATGTTTTTTTTATCGCTCAGGCCAATAAATGCAATAGAATATCATATAGGAGAAAATTTTGGCTTCGGCAATACCTCAACCTATTATCGTCAGGGGGTAAACAAAGTCCTAGAGCACTCATATTTGGCCAATAGATGCCCTGAAACACAATGTATCCACATGCCAAAATTGAGCTCTCAATGATGTTGTTTACCCCCCTGACGATAATAGAATAAGGTATTGTCGAAGCCGTACATACTAATGGCAATAGAACTTATAAAATTATTCATTTAATTTTTTCTGGTGTGAGTTAAAGTTCCTTTTGATTTGTTTTCTCCGTCGATCTTGTTTTCCGTGCTGAGCACCAATCCCGAGCAAAGTCGGTTAACAAAATGAAAGCAAATCGATATTAAAGTTTGCAGTTCTTATCATAATGAAAACTCATTTTGATTTCAATTGTCGCGACATAAGTCTGATATCATGTTGTGCTTTCATTATGCAGTCAAAACTTTTTAAATGAAAGCAACTTAACTTAAAGTTTTGCTGTTAACGTCTTGTTTAAAATTTAATTTAGGTTCATCTGTCGTTTATGTCTAATAATTATTGTTTATTTGTTTTGTTTAACACATTTTAGGTCATTCGTGACGAGCCCGGGGTGAGATTTGAGCTCAAATCTGTCAGCGTGAGAAGTATGGATACTAACCATTTGCGCCATGCCCGCATTCACTTAAACATTATGAATCCAAAATCAGTAATCAAATTGATTTCATTGAATGCAAGATTTGTTTTCCGTTTGATTCAACAGTGTAAAATTTTGCTCTCATTTTTGCTGTGTTAACCGTTAAGTCAACCAAAATGAGATCAACTGGAGTATTCAAAATAAGTTACATCATAACAGCAAATTTTGATTTCAATTTGATCTCCAGCTTTACTCGGGATGCTACCGACGTGCCAGGAAGGCAGCTCCCACACCTGGACCCTACCTAAGACCCATCAACTCATGAACCGGGGACCAACGGCTTTACTTCCCATCCGAAGGAAGGCGTGATCAGAGATGTTATGCCTCAAGAACATCCCGGCGGCGCCGACTGGGATTGAACCCCGGCCTGCTGGGGTGAGAGGTAATCACGCTTACCACTACACCACCGGCGCCGTTGTGAGTTAAAGTTCCCAAGGATTGTTTTTTAGCGCAGAAGTCTTCTTCGGTGCAAAAGGCGCAATAAATTGATTTTCTATCTGTATATAAAAATGAATTTCTGTCTGCCTGCCTGACCCTTATAAACTCGGAAACTGCTGAACCAATCGGCGTGAAAATTTGTATGCAGGGTTTTTTTTGGGCCGGGAAAGGTTCTAATGATGGTTTGAGACCCCTCCCTTCTGTAAGGGAGGGCTCCCATACAAATGAAACAGAAATTTCTGCATAACTCGAGAACTAATCAAGCAAATGGATCCAAATTTGGCATGTTGATATAGGGTGTGGTAATAGGGGGTAGCTCTTTAGATAAGAGGAGGGGCTACGTACAATATAGTATGCTTTTTTTTATCTACGTATAAACTCAAGCTAATATTGAATCACGAGCAAGGCCGGGCACACTCAGCTAGTATATAGGGGTAAGAGGGGCATAGGGAGCATCCCGTGCACCAGCTTGGACTTCCGGCCGTTCGGAACAAATTGGTTGGTGGTAGGATCAATATCATAATGATATTGAACCAACTGCCAGTTGATTTGTTTCATGCAGCTAGAGATCCAGGGCCAGACTACGGGATGCTCACTATGCCTCTCCTCTCCTATATAAAAATGAATTTCTGTCTGTATGTCTGACCCTAATAGACTCGGAAACTACTGAATGATTGGCGTGAAAATTTGTATGCAGGGTTTTTTAGGGACAGAAAAAGTTCTAATGATGGTTCGAGACCCCTCCTCTCTTTGTAAGGGTGGGCTCCCATACAAATGAAACAGAAATTTCTGTATAACTCAAGAACTAATCAAGCAAATGGAACCAAATTTGGTATGTGGAGGTCATATGGGGTAGCTCCTTAGATAAGAGGGGGGGGGGGGGGGGAAGGGGAAGCTACGTACAATAGTTTTTTTTTTCAATTGGCGCATAAACTCAAGCTAATATTGAATCGCGAGCAAGGCCGGGCACATTCAGCTAGTAACTTATAAAAAATGCAGGTTCAGTTACATTGTAGTCCGAATAAAATTGCATTTATTAGAAGGGCAGTACACAGGACTCTAGGACCATTGAAAATCGGAATTCACTGCGCCGGGTTTTCCACCTTTCCGGCAAACACAATCGTCCCGGTGGACTCCTCTTCGATGAAGAACAAAAACGGTCGATCCGCAGTGAAGTTCTCCGGTTCGCTGGCAATAGTAAACACCAACGAAGATCCGGATGCCGATCCAGCAGTACTTCCCTCCTCGTCCACAATCAGCACCGTTTTCTGCAGCACATCCGACACCTTGGCCGTCAGTTGCCCTCCGCGAAAGATTCCACTCAGCTCGGCGTTGTCCTGGAAGATTCGGTCGATTCCCAGCTGGAGTAAGGGGAAAACGGGGTTGAGTGAGATTTTATTTTCGACTTACGGAATCAGCACTTCAATACCTGCTGTAGTGGTGCTTTGAAAGAACTGTCGTATTCGATGTGGAATCTGGGCAGTTGAATTTTCACTTCAATTTCGTCCATGCTGTTGATCGCTTCGTTGATCGATTGTGGTGTGATGGTGCTAACTAGTTCATTAACGTTGCTGTTTTCATTGGGGAGCACCAGAATCATAGAGAATCTGCTGTCAGAGTATGGTAGTCGAATGAGCTTCGCTTTAAGACTGTCTGATTCGGCGTAGTAGTGGTACAGAATCTGCTTCATGAAGGGGACTTGCACGATTTGTCCGGTACTGGTTTTGAATGGTTGGATTGTGGTTGCATTTGGGGAAAAAACATTAACCCAGAGTCCTTTAAAATAGATAGTATTTGCGAGCAGCATCACAGAGTCCCTAACGCTCTGGGACGTGACAAACTTTTGTATCAATCCTCGGGTGCTCTCCGAAACCCACTGGTTGATTGTTTCGGCTGCTTGCTCCGGGTGCCGAAAGTCGACATTCTCAATGCTGGCATTGTACTGCATATGAACGATGGTAGCGTATTTCTGGTTCACATTGACCATGTTATCGGTAAAGATTCGACTGTTGATCAGCAGTTGTTCAGGGTTGCGTTGAAGGGTATTCATGATCACGGTACATCGTGGCGGTTCACGGTTGAGAGGATTACGTTCCAATGGGTCACTCAGTTCACGTTGGGTCAAAGAATCGATGCTGCTCCCTTCGTAGAGCATGTTCAGGAGGAACTTGATCGAAAAGGATGATAGAGCCACATTTCGACTGTCTTGACCAAGTACGTTCTAATTGATGGAAATACAAAGAAAAAACAAGCATGTGTACAGAATTGAGCATGATTCACGATAAGCAAATAGTAAAACTGACACGACCGGCTAGAATGGAGCAATTACATCATTCAATGCATTATGAGTCTGCATCGTCTATGTATGCCTCAGGTAAAGGAAATTTCCTATAATTATGTATTCAGCAAACCGGTTACGTTTCCGTCTGAATGGCATCTATAGACAAGAGAGTGCAAGAACAATAAAACAAAAAAGGTACGCCGATACCAACCTTTATCAGCAGCCAATCGAAGTGGTCATCCTTTGTTGGACTCGGTTCCGTTTGTTGATCGAAGCGTGACTTAACTTTCTGGGATCTCCCGCTCTCACTGGGGCACACTAATGTAATAAGTACACATAGATAGAGATTCAACGGCGCGCAATGTAGGATTGACCCATCTTACCGTAAACGCTTATCACCAGTAGCAACAACAAACATATTTTCGTAGGAAAAGGCATCTCTGGGAACTGAGAAAAATAAATCAAAATCTTCCAAACAAACAGCGAAAAGGGATGCTTTTGGGTCGACGTTCGCAAGTCTACTGAAGAATGGCGGTGGCGATCGGTGTTCGGGAACCTGTTCGTGCGTCGATTGGAGATGCTCACTTACTTAAGCGAGCGCATTCAAATTGACCATGGCGGCGAAACAAACAGCAAGTGCTCATTGTATTTAATTAACTGACTCAAGCATGGGGCTTTTGCAATGATAAGTTATTCCAGGAATGGATACTGATGAGAGAGGGTTGTTGTTTGACATTGGACGACTGAAGCTGATTTTCGACAACATTTTATTGATTATTGAAAACAGTGGAATCCTTTGAAACTTCCAATTGATTCATCTTAAAAGTAATTGGCTTCTAGACCATGCCAGTTTTCAGAAATCACGGTGAAGAAATTTCTTGTTGGTAAAATCCGTGGAGAGTGAGTATAAAATGCTCTGCTTTATGTTCTTCCATTTTTTTTTTGCCAGGCGCAGTTTTCAAAAATGACAAATAGGAGCTGCAGATGTCAAAAAGAGGCATATAGCTCTATGTTCTAATCTTAAACAAGGTTAATGGCGATCCATAGCTACTATCTAGTATACGCAGGTTCATTAAAAATAAATCTGGGAATTCCCTGTGATGCGATTCTCATATCAGTAACCGCATTTGATGAATGCGTTGAAGTTTATGTATATATTTTTTTTAAAGAAATGGACTTTTGTGTCTCCACATACACATTCACGGTGTATGTAGAATTAGACATTTTTATTTATGGCGCATACCTGAAAGTATCAGGTCAAGCTTCAAATTGTTTAATTACAAATTTCCACGTTTAACCGTTAAATAGCAGTGTTGCCAATATAACGGTAGCAAGTCATGTAATGAGAATTTAGGTTCAATTTGGCTTACAAATATTTCAATCTGGAATGGCATAGCCGGGTGGTTTCGAAAATAAATGTAATTAGTTTAATTAATTTCAAAAATACCGGCATACATAAAAATCCCCACTACAAATATGCTGAAATGCAACCAAATCATCTCTGTTAAAACAGCTCATGAGAATCGAGGTAATATTTGACTCAAAAATATTTCAAATAAAAATTGCAAAGCCAGGCGATTTATAAAATGAGTAAAATGTAATACATACAATGCGTCCAACTTTTTTTTTACTATCAACACTCTTGGGTCATTCGTGACTTGTCCGGGGGTGAGATTTGAACTCTTGACTTTGGCGTGAGAGGTATGGGTGTGTTAACCACTACGCCGGGGTCACCCCCTATGCTTAAACTGCCTCCCTGACGTCGGTAGCATTGCACAATATTCCAGAATGCATATTTAGGTGGAATGATATAGTTGAAGATGCTAATTTCAAATAACAATCTAAAGTGGTAATTTTTGTACGATAGATGGAGGAGATGAAAGTCTAGAGTTGATAGTTCCGTTAGAGTACGGCAGTGTGAAAATTGTATATAGATAGTAAATAGTGAGCTAGGACAACTTTTAAGGAAGGTACAAATCGTTTCAATCGTTTCAATCAATCAATGACCTTCCTTAAAAGTTGCCCTTGCTCGCTATCTACTATCTATATGCAATTTTCACACTTCCGTACTCAAACGGAACTATCAACTCTAGACTTTCATCCATCTATCGTATAAAAATTACCACTTTAGTCTGTTATTAGAAATTAGCATCTTCTTTAGGGTGTTCCTGAAAAAAATAGTTTTTTAGCACTAACTTTTTTATTTGAAATTTATTATGAAAGTCATATTCTAGAGACTTTTAAAACTCTTTAAGACGAATGCTTTATAGCTGGATTTGTTGCCTGTATCTCGTCTAATAAAAACATATATACCCAAGTACAGTAAAAAATATGAATAAATTCAATTTGTAAAAAAGTTTAAAATATAACATATCTTCAATTTTTTTTATATTATTGAGAATAACGTGCTGAAAGGGCGCATGTTATTCTCAATAATATAAAAAAACTTTTTGTTTGTTTGCCTCAACCAGAGATATTAACATTTGAAAAGTGCATATTTTTAGTATAAAAACGTCAATAACTCTTGATCGGCAAAAGATATTGACAAGCTTTGTGCAGCAAAAATTTGCGCCTTTTTAAGATCTAACAGTTATTCGAAAACACTATTGCTGAGAAATTCGAAATAAGAAAACTATTGCAAAACAACTGTTTTTACCCTTCTTACAAAGAAGGGTATAGATATCACTTGAAAACCCGACTATCGATCCGAGGCCCGGAGGGCCGAGTGTCATATACCATTCGACTCAGCTCGACGAGATCGGAACATGTTTGTGTGTGTGTGTGTGTGTGTGTGTGTATGTGTGTATGTGTGTATGTGTGTGTGTGTGTGTGTGTATGTAACGAAATGAATGCGCTCACGTTTCTCAGCAACCGCTCAACCGATTTGGACAAACTCGGCGCCAAATGATAGGTCTTGGGGTCCCATTGAATCGGTGAACCGGTTCCGGTGAATATGGGCCTTCACGCTGGATTTAACGGAAAACGTATTAAAACCATCATGCGACACATCAAATTACTACAGAATTCAAAAATAAGATCAATGCAAGTCGTGTTAAGTGTTCCAGACCACATTGGACACACTTGGACATGTTCCGGGTACCCCGGGGAAGTTGCTTGAATATGAATTGAATTAAAAACCCTTAAATCACATTAAAATACGATGATAAGGTGATTGGTAGCCTCACCAAATAGACTACACCCGGATATATTCCGGGTACCCCAAGCAGTGGCGTAGCGTCACTGGATGACACGGAGGTGGGGGGCTTGGTCACTGATAATGACAATAAAATAAATAAACTTGAATAAGTAAGAAGGGTCTGATCACCCCATAGGTGGATAAATTCGGTTTTTTTTTCAAAAACCACCCTTACTCAATTCAAGAAAATAGCTCTAAATCGGCCAATTAAAGAGATACAAAAAAATTATCTTGAACAAAGTTGCTTGAAATTGGCTCAGCTAAAACTTTGCTCAGGAATGTATACCTTAATTTATTCAAACAAAAAAGTTAGATTTTTGATTTTAATGATAATAGGAACCACCCTAGAATTCATTGTCATAAAAATGAGGGCCTATCTATAAAGAACAACTTTGTAGAAGAGACGTTTAGTCTAAAGTTTCAATTTCAGACTTAAAACATATCATTCCACCTAAATCTGCATTCTACAGTACTGAAAATAATCTTAAATCCAGGGCTATTACAAGATTTTCTAAATTTGATCCACGAAATCCGCGACTGCAAATGCTAATCCGCGACAAATAAAAACTGTTTTCATTTCTTAACAATACCATTTGTATTACAACTACATGGCTTTTCGAGCTTATTGCCTGCTCTCATCTTAGTGTTCTTTGAATCCCTTCCACATTTTAATTGAGCATTTTCTATACCTGTACTGTAGCCTATGTCCAAGGAAGTAGAGAAATATTCCAAACCGAAAAATAAATAGATCGGACGGGTATTGAACCCAGCCGCCTCCAGCATGGACTCACTTCGTAGATGTACTTTTAACGACTGGGCTAAGGGAGTATCGTTTGCAGACTTTAAAAAAATGAGATTCTGTTGGATAAACATTGTTTTATAAAAGTAATACTACTTTACTTGTAATAAGCTTTACACAACTTTAACAAATTATCTTAACCTAACATTAACTTAAATTTTTCTTAGCAATAACATTATTTTAACATAACTTTAACTTGACTTCAAAATATCATTAAGTTATTCTGATGAATGTGGGCGTCTTAGTGGAGTACCTGTTTAATGAGAGAGAGAGAGAGAAGGATTAGTAATTTTCATTTAATTCCACTACCTTGCTTATCCTTGACAGATACGCGTATTTTGTCTACAGTATGCAGACTTCTTCAGTGTATTGTACTAATACTGAGTCGAGTATTAGTACAAGATACTGAAGAAGTCTGCACATTGTAGATGAAATACGCGTATCTGTCAAGGATAAGCAATTAAAGTAGTGAAATTAAATGGAAATTACTAATCCTTCTCTCTCCCATTATATCATTAACTTAACTTGATCTTAAAACTTTAACCTAACTTAAACTACACATTAATTTGATTTCAGCTTTAACTAATTAGCTTAGCAGTAATTCTAACTAAACATACAATTAACTAAACAATAACTAAAGTTTAACTTAATTTTGCCTTTATTTTAACTTAACAAGAACTTCCAAGAAGTGTAAATTTTCAAAAAATTCCAAGAACATCCAAAAACATTTAAAAAAATCCAAGCAGATGTATGAACCTCCAAGCAGGCTTGCAATTGCTCATTACAGTTAAAATGCTATTTTTCGGTATTATGAAACAATGGTATACTATAATGATAATTTTTATTTGTAAGATGCAAGAAGAGGTGGTATAGTTTGTATATGACATAAAAAATTTGTCAATTTTGCTTTCAGAAGGTCACAACTAGCGATTTTATGATCGCTGATTCCTCGCTCATCGCGTTGCTCATCGTTACAGCTAATCGCCATTGTGACCCTCTGAAAGCTAAACTGACATGTTTTATGTGTCATGCACACACTTTACCTTCTGTTCTTACATCTTGTAAATAAGAATTATCAATAAAATATCTCAGAGCTTCATAAATCCGAAAAATAGCATTTTAGCTGTAATGAGCATTTGCAAGCTTGCCTCCAAGAGGTTTCCCAGAAAATCTCCGGGAATAAGTTTTACATAACTTTTACTATACTTTGACCATAGACAAACATACATAACTCTCACCATCAAACTCTTCGTAAATAAGATTTTAGTTGGGAATGTGCTAGCATTTGTCATGGTGGCGCCACTGAAGCGTTAAGTAAGCCACTATATTTTGAACTAATCAGTGATGCCTGTTCTTTTTAAAGTCAATTTAGTAGATGCCAGCTCTTGAGAATGGTAAGAGGACCAAGGCATCCCACTGAAGACATATACAGTAATGACCCAATTTTGTCAGCCCCCTTTTTGAAAAACTTTTCTAATGTTCTACGATACCCATGCGCTTTTTCAGTGGTCTTATTGCACCAAAGTATACTTTAAACACCTATCTTGTAGATGCATGAGAATGATTAAGAATTGAGATTTTATTAAATT